TGCCTATACATACCTTTTTTTTTATGTCTTCTTCCCTGTCCTGTGATGTCCTCCCTGGCTTCTTCTCTTTCTTTTGGCAGTAGCGGAAAGGAGAAGGGGCATTCCTCAGGACTGCACGGTGCTAACATAATGATGTGTGAGGACCGCTCAGTCATAGTGTACTAAAAGCACAGCCTGCATGATGATGCACCCCTCAGTGGAGCATGTAAGCAGCAGGCTGGGCTCACAGGAATTGGGCAGAATGACTGAGTGTTGTTCCCAGAAGACTATGGAATAAGTCAGTCAGGGGGATGGAGGATAGAGATATAAGTGAATACTGGCTTAATTAAGCAATACAGCTATATCACTAGGCTGCCCTGAACCTGTGATTGGACAGTGAAGGCGCAGCAACAGCCTGATGATATCGTCTCTGTACTCAGCATATACATGGAGGATACTACAGTATTTTTTTTAAAATACATAACAATATTTATTGGTTACTCTTGAGTTCAGCCTGGGGTTGAGCTTTAAGAAGCTGAATGTATTTAAATACCAAATAATATACACATCACACCCTTGGACAATACACAAGCACTTACTGTTTAATTAGGTGGATTTTTTACTTGAGTTACATTCCCACCCCTCCCCCGCCCGCCTCCAGTTCCATGTTGCGTCAGTCTGTCTCCAATGGTCATCCCCTGTAATCCATCTTCTTTCCTCCTTTGCTTCCATTGCTGAAGACCAACACGTGGCTCTCATTTGCCCCAAGAAATAATAGGATTACAGTCCTGTCCCCTTGGCTGGCCCTTGTAAGCGATTGGCTTCTCGGTTTAGCCTGAAAAGATTTGAACAAAAATGTGTAACAACAAAGCCCAATTACAAGGACTTCCAGAGTCTTTGTATGTAATTCCTCTCATCATAACTAGAGGCTTAAGAGCAAGACCTGGTTTATATTCGAAGGGAGCCATGGCACATGATTGCTACTTTAATGGTTATCGGAATATGTCGCTGCGCTAACACACTCCCCCACATCCTAAGCTCCCTGAGGCACTCTCAACTCAGCAGCTCAGTGAATGTCAATGAACTCTGTAATCAGTACATAGGGCAGCTACCGAAATATACTTTGAATTTTGCTATGAAAAATAAATAGTTTTCACAGGCATCATTATTAAGAAATGTAGAATATGATAATAATCAAAATGATGGTATTCAGGGCAGTGTAGAGCTAGATCTTCTTGAAGGATCACTAAAACATGAATTGAATTCCTGCATTCCTATTGATGACCTCAATCAAAATTTGCTAGTTCCCAGACAGTCATGCTTATCCTCTGGCTCCACTGCTTAGTGATTCATTGCCCCACAGCACATCACTGTACTAGGTTTCTGATTTTCTAATAGGTAAAACGGGTGATCACAATGGTGGCCAGGGAACCAGCAGATGATGAAGGATGTCAACAATAACAAACAGGCATTTTATCCATGATAGGCCCTTTCCCAGATTGGGACTTATGTCACCTTACTTTGCAGCAAATGGGCTTTAGTACCAAATTTCTAGAGAAATGTATTGCCCTTGCAACTTTTCACACTGAGAAAGAGTTATGTCATGATGTGCATATTATTACACTTACATAGGGTGTTGGCTCCCACAGCTCCTATACAGATGAGAGTCATCACTCCACTCTTCCCCCCTCCTGTTATCTGGACCCTATCTTTTATCCCACCCATCTGGTTGCCCTACCCTTCTTGCCCTCTACCTGTTCTCTACTCTAACTCTGTTCACCCCGTGATTTTCCCTATCTCATTGTCTCTATTATTCTCCCTTGTTTTCTCCCTCTCTCCGTATTTCTATATTGTTGGACGGGGGACATCATGAGATCTCAGTCTGGTAGAACTCACGCCACATCTAAAGTAACACATCTGTGTGGCTCACAGTATACCTGTTCTCTTCACAACTTATCTGTTTTAATATGTAATCCACCTTGTTATCGAAGACTCCTTTGCCGTGATTGGTTGACTGCTATTTCCTGGGTGCCACTGAAACTTGATCCTCTCTTAAAGAGATAAATAAAAATGTATTATTAAAAAAAAGGTGACTGAACCTCGACTTAACCGCTGAGTTTTCCTTAGCATAGCAGGTGCCATTTGACACATACAGAGACTCACTTCTGCACCAATCACTCAAAGTAACCATAAACTCCTGCAACTAGCAACAACAAAGGCATAATTCCAGACTTATCACTTGCAAAGCCTTCATAATTTTAACTCTCAGTGATCCCCGTCTGAACAAACTCCACCTACTTCCTGCCAGCTATGCTGATTTGCAAGGTACACATACATGGATGGCCGACTCATCTAGTAAATATGTGGTAATCTCTGGTAATAAAAGTGTCATGGTTTCTAAGCAGCTCTGCAGCTTATAGGAGAAGCATAAGTGGAAGCAGAATCGAGGGATCTGAGAAGCAGAAGTTCTGAGCTGGGCTGAAAAAATATCATGATCCTTGATAAATGAAACACAAAATGAAATTCTGATGCTCCAGGTCCTGTAGCAATGTGGAAAGACCATGAAAAGAAGAGGGCCTCTGTCATGGTGGAGGAGTTTATTTATTAAAGATAAATCGTACATCTAGGTAATAATCAGAACATTTTCAGATTATCTTGTCAACACATAGATCTTTCTGACATTTATTTGCAGAATTGGGACAAGACTTAAAAGGCTACTGCTTTGGGTGCAGATAGTTTCTTCATACAGTCAAAACCATGCAGTTTGACATTAGTTATCTATATATTACTGAAGCGCATGCTGAAAGCAGATGTCATGTGTAGGTCTAGGTCAAAATATTTTAAAAGCTGTTGGCTTAACATCCCAATGAAAACATACACATTACACTGGCACCTACTCCAACCCCAGCCATTGGAAACAACATGTAACTCCCTTGACAACACTTTGGTCTGCTAAGATTATGAAAATGGAAGATGTCACGGCTTCATTATATAAAAAAAAAAGAAAAAAATGTGCACCTCTTGGTTTTCATGGATTGACTTAAAATGTTCTCATGACTGCAAAAATACGCTGTGACCACACAATCAATGGCAATGACAAGAATGAGCTTCTCCTAGACTTTCTCCTAATGCAACCCCTGTCTTCCTTACTTACTGCACTTTGAGAAATGACTTAACCTGTGAGGCCTCCCTTTCCCTTTCCTCTGCAGTTTCACCCACCCCATTACTCTGAGCAATCATTCTTCTGGGCCCCAGCTCTTTATTCCCCCCCCCGCATCCCCCGCACACACACACTCATTCCACTCTTTTGTGTCTCTAGCACTATTC